GTGTGTGTGTGTGTGTGTGTGTGGTGTACGTGCCGTAGGAGCTGCGGGAACTAACTGTGGAAGCTTTGTACCTTAAATTTTGTAAAATCTCACAAACGTAACAATTATACAAATGAGAGAAGATACACAACGGATGACTCAATACAAAAGGCAATAAGAGACAAACTATTAATCTCAGCCAGATACGAAATTACGTCGGGAAGATAAGACAACGACGTGAAAAAAACAAAACTGCCGATGACACGAATGCGACCCTGATTAGTAAGCCGGGCTGCTTTAATGGAGCGGAGATTTTACTAGCCCTGGAATGCGCGCTGCCCTCGTGTCATACCCTCGCTGTGCATTTCTAACCATTATCGGGGCTTCGAGATGTCCGCGGTTGGTAAATGCGACACTAGGGGAGCTTTAGCCTTGGGAAAGGAGACATTTAGGGGGTTTATCAGCGCCTCGGATCTGAAACGGATTTCGATTGGTATTTTGTCTTTTAACTTTTCTTTGGTCCTTTTTTATCGACCTCTCTAAAATAATTTTACTTTAAAATATATTTTAACCTTCTACCTCTGGAGTGGAAAAGGAGGAAAATTTAGGTTATCTCTTACTCCACCAAAACTTTCGCGGGGAAGTACGCGATATCCGGGATAAGTGAAGGTTAAATTTAAGTTTGCGAGGTCTCAAGTTGATGGGTAGCGTACCAGTCAGCTTCTTAGCTTTGGCTTTCCTGGGCTAAAAGTGCGGCACAAACTGCACTTGTACACACACACACACGCAAAAACAGACGCACTCACATACACAAACACACAGACAGCGGCGTAACAATGCGCGTTTTGTGTTGCTTTACCCAGCGCAAAAGGCACAATAAAAAAGTGAAAAAAAACTAGAATTCACAAATTCCACGGCTTCATTTTCTCCAGCGATTTAACTCATTGTTTAACTTCAAGAAACCGGATTTCTGGTTCAATTTCATAAAGTCTTATTAGGCCTCTATAGCCTTAGATCCTTCTTTTTGTTGTTTGTAATGTAAAAATACAAAATTGGTGATGTAAATTTACGTCTAGGCGAGGAAGCAAAATCCAATGGGTTCGTCTTGTAGATGATCGATAGACCTCAGATATCAGTAAGTAGTGCTCATGAGAAAGTAAGCGGCCACCCGGGCGGCACCCAAGGAGGTGGCGCGTAAATTAGACAGTGGGTAAATTAGACAGCTAAATAGATTAGACAGCTAAATAGAGGCATGCAATGTCTTGGTATTCTTTGTATCTACATGCGCCCAGATTTGTTTCGAAGCATTTTGGTTACAAATATTTACCGTTTTTCCAACAGATTTATCAGTTTAGTTGCAAAGCTGACGATGCAGCGATTTATAATAGCAGGGGTGGCAACGGCATATTTGGTTATAACAGCAGTTGGTTGGTTTGGCAATGGCTGCATCGTCATCGCAACTATCCTCTCAAAGTTGGTTTATTTCGCAAGTTTACTAAAAAATATTGTACCAGGCTCTGCGGGTGTGAAAAGTAATCGCTCTGCGATTCTTTCATTCGTTTCTGTGGTGAATTGGTACTTTGTACTTTCCGAAAACCGCCATTTAAATTTTTTTGGACGTAACGATCAAAAACGAAAGCCATAAGTAGCCTTACCAAAAAATGACCGGTTCTGAAACATGCTATCGCTCGACCTACTTTCAAATGAATACGTCTCTCCTGAAGAATGAAGTACTGAGTGGATGCGTTTCACAGACAAATTCAACATTGAGAGAAAAGAAGCTAATTTCTTTCTCAACTGCCTTTCCCTAAGTATATCAATTTTCACAGAAAATGGCATTTTCAGTAGAATATTGTTGGATAGTATGACACTAAGTAGTACTAAAGGTCAAGACTTCGAAAATTAATCCCTCCACGATTTGTTTATTCATTTTGATAGTAAAGTGGTAAAGGAGTAGGCCAGGAAACATGCCAACACCAGCTTGCTTGTGACCAGCCCACGAAAAACTAGTCATTAACAGCTTTGCCAGCAGGTAGTCTATTTTGACAATGGCGACATTTGGGTCACATCCCGAGAAATCCTGCTTTTCTTAGACAATGCTACGGGAGAAATTTTAACTTTGATTAGGCTTCTTTATTTTAGTAGTAATTTATCAAGTTCGGTTGCTAAAGTTACGTTGCCGGAAAAGAACTGTGACAGAGCTCCAATGTTTCAGAAGATTAATAGAAAATTTTTAAAGTAAGATTGCTGTGGCAGCAGTTCTTTTGGCCAATTTTTTTATTCAAATTCGCCATAATATTTACTAAGAAGCCGTTCTTTTTACAAAAATTTTTGCAAAAATGCACCTATTTCAAAATCCCTTAACCAAGTCACTGTTCTACTAATTTCAGGAGATTACACGCCCCATGCAATGCAATGATTGCATTTGAAGCATTCTGCGAGATTCTTTATCAGTCGGGACACATTATTACAGCGTACCGCGTTTTTCACGGAGAATACTTCACCACCACAGAACATTGCTTTAATTTACAAGTAATCCCAAATTTCTTCATGAATGTCGCCAATTTCCTCAATTTATGCATTGGCATCGATCGACTGTTCGCAATTCTATATCCTTTAATGTAAGTACAAGAGTGGCAACTCTACGGTCAAAAAGATTCACCTACGGCTTCTGAAAACCTGGTCATTCGCGAATGTTTGGCTGAAGCAGGGTTGCTGGTGTAATGGTGGCAGCAATTATGGAGAGAATTTACCTCTAGAGATGAAATAAGCGGCCAAGATAGTGCTACTGTGGCTGAAGTGTGATCATATGTCTATGCGCACTGAAACTGAACCAACGCTGGAATGCACTGGGCTCGCCGGTGCGATCAAGCGTTATTGTACTAGACTCGCAGGTCGCTAATAGCAGGAATGGTCCCTGCACTATAGGCTAACACTTGGACTTACATTGGCCATGTTCTGGCCTCTTTCAGCATACAGCAGAAAGGGGTCCGTTTGGATGAAGGTGGTGCATTATAGAGACGCATGAACCTCAAGGCGCATGATTACGAGTTTTTCGCATGAAGCCCGGTCATTTTATCTGCAAATGCTCGCTTTTTGTAAAAATGAACCTAGGCTGGAAAGCGCCAGGCTCTCCAGTACGATCATGCGTTTTTACACTAGACTCGCAGATCGCTATTAGCAAGAATGACCCCTATGTTGTGGCCTAACTCTTGGGCTAATAATACTGGCCGTACTTTGATCCTTTCTGGCATGCAGGAGGAAGGGCATTATTTGGGATGAAGGTGGAACATTACAGCTGGGATGAAAGTGGTGCACATCCAGGTGTATGATCACCGGTTTTTTGCATGAAGTTCGGTCGTTTTTTCGGCAAATGCTCGCTTTGTGAAAAAATGACAAATGCAAATTTTTTGAAA